AACCATTGGCTCAAGGTTCAAAGACACTACCTCTAGTAATGTACTACTCCTTTGTAACGTAATTTTAAATTTATTTTTCCCTTGTTTTAGTGGAGAAATCTTTTTAGTTGAAAAATCTTTTTATATTTTACCATGTTAGAATTGAAATGGTCTACATTGTAGCAGCTAGCTCACTCTACCACAGCCTGGAACAACTAAGCAACCCGGAAAAAGAACAATTTCTACCCAAAATTTTGGCTATTCCGGGACTTTCTTTAAACCCGAACACCACGAACCCACAGAAGAACCTCGCAAGCCTACTCTGCAGGGCACCTCTAGCAGAAAAACGTCAAGTGGTGGTGTGGCACGACATCATCATAAATTCTATCAACAGCCACCGCACAAACAATTTCAGAGCTTGCACTGCAGAGGAATTGACAGAAATCCTGAAGACACTGACAAATATCAGCGCAATTGTATACTGTCAGAGAAACGGTACACCGGATATCAGGAACCAGCTGATCAGCTCGGTTATTCTTGTCATTCCTAATACAAAGTGTCTCATTTCAAAGAGGAAGAGAAGAACGGAGCTGGTCAACGAATATCAGGCACTGCACCAGGACATCCAACTGGAGCTAAAGTCTTTGAGGATTGTGTTGAAACACCAAGACAACCTGCCAGCTGTCTTGTCCAAGCTTCGTTCAAACACGAAAAAGAAATCTCAATCGAGAAGGAGGGCGGAGAAAAGAAGACTGGTGAACATAGGCGAAGCAACTAATGGTCGGACTGACGAGGAGGCTTCAAGGGAGAGGGTGAGTGAAACTTGTGGTATTTGAGTTGCTTTGTGTAACGTGAGGTTTATTCCTCGTGGCCTGCAAACCAATGAGCACAGTTGTACTCCCACCTCCATTCTTGATTTGGACTTTGAAAAACAAACTCATTTGGAAATTAGTTCGTGATTATGCGTCCATATATGTTAAGTTTATCAACTGTCACCAACGTGTTAAATTTTTGAGAGTTTGTCTAGAAAACGACTTTATACCTGATTTTTTGAGGTTCAGGGTACCGGAAAATGGGGTGTTTTCGAACCAAGCGGTACACAGTTTTCAGACAAAACTTCAAAGAACGGAGATAAACAAGGCAAGGACAGATGAGAAAAAGGTTGAAGTCAAACTAGAAAGGGCGAGAGGCGCAGTGCAGAGGGGTGTAAATGAGAAGTTTTGGCCTTCGGTAATTAAATATTTAGGTCTTAAGGGACAAAGACAAACAGCAACAGTCAAAGAGACCCATCAGAAGAAGCTAATGAAACTATCAGAAAGGCAAGACCGACCTTACAAAAAAAATGCAATTCGTCTCAACAAGGATAAAAAATTGTTTTTGAAATCTCTTCTGACTTTTCTTCAGGCAAATTTCCTAAATTCAAAATATAGTCCAATTGTTGAAGATTTGTTGTAAATAAAAAATCATTATTTTCGAATTTTAACAAACCCAGAAATTATCTCTCAATTTTTGTAAATTCTTGTTTCATGTTAAAAACGAAACACCAACATTACCATGACACAATAAGAAGACCATTTCCACAAAGTATTTAGCACTACTAATCAGGAGGCACAAAATCACACCACTGAATACAATATTGGGAGCCACGACTAATTTTTACATCCTGGGAACGTAGCTGTACCTAAAAGAGAACAGACCTTAACCAGAACTAACAGAAGTATTGAGAAAATCCCCCAACGGTGTAACAGTCGTCCGCTTACCTCACAGATAAGTTTAAGAGAAATAGGCCCAATAACCATTGGCTCAAGGTTCAGGGAGATGTTACAGCTTAAAGGTTACCACCAAATTTCCCCCCAGTCTAGAAAAAAGAACTTCCCCGTGTGTTCGATCGATCAATGTCATCTCAAATCGATTACGAATCGATCATGTCATCTCACGTTTATCGCGGCTATTGAAACAAGAAGTCAATAAAATCAGAAGACTCCAATCATAATTTCAGGAAACTTGATTGGAATTTCTTCTAGTATAAAACTGGTATTCGCAATTTTACGGAAATAATCCATTCGATTAGAGCTGTCTTGTTCTCGACAGAGAACATCGCGAATTCCTGCGATAAAAAATTATCGCTGGGCATGAGAGAACCTTGAATGGGCAGGTAGACAAGTGAAGTTTCCCAATGGTCCAGAACAATAAAACTTCTTGAGTTAAAACTACTTATTTCCTAAACTTCCCGAGTTACTTCACTAACACTATTTATTTAATTCTAGAGTCGCGACACTATGTGAGTATTTAAGTTAATTTCCTGAGGGTAATTTTAAACAGTCATGTTGAAACAAGGCGGGTTTTAGGTTGATCCATCTGAATTGGATCAAAAATACACTGTCCAATAAAAACTAATGCTCTAATTAAAATTTCATCCAAGTTTCTAGCCGTGTTCGCTTGTTCTAGGTATCTAGCGATTTTGTTTCTATGATGGGGTTTTTGGTAGTGGCCTTTAAGCTGTAAAACGATTTTATAGTCCCATGTCTTGAACGATCCGATTTGGCTCGGACAGAATGAGGTACACATCACGAGAGATAGTGCCAATGGCTGTAGGGCCTTTTTTCTCAGCCTCATACGTGACAGAAGCGGACGACTGTTACTTTGTGTGTTTTGGCGCTTCTGGTTGTCTTACGACATCATGACTACGGGATAAAACCCACTTGACGCAGCTCCGTGCTACATGCCCTTTCTAGAGTACCGGTGATACGGTTCAAATGGAACGTGTCCACCTTCTGGTCGTACCCTGATAGCTTTTTGGGCAAACTTGGAAAAATTTTCTCGATACGCTTTCAGATACGAGGCTTAGCTAACCGAGTATGGGGGGCACTAGAGAAACAAAAAACGTGCGAAAAACTTAAGATGAAACAAAAATACAAAAAAAGACGAGAAAATGAAGGAAAAACCAGAAAGAACTGTAACATTTGCCCGGAAGTACATATCGACGGAAAATAAAGGTAGGTTCTAAAACTACCGACTAGTGTATAAACATAGCTCTAGATGCTTTTCAACGTCTTTACCAAAGCCAGTTCTTTTGGTGGTCTTTCTAGCATCGGGTCGACAAAAACGTTACTGCTTTCGGCTTCGGTCAAAACACTCAAATTAACTTAATTATATGCAAGTATAGTGAGCTCATGGCTGGGTCTCAGTATCCCCAGACCACGAGGTCACTCCTAAAAACAGAGCTACTACTATTTATTATATTACTATTGTTTTTGTTCAGTAGATAAAAATCATCATCTGCATCGAAGATGGATCAACCCTTTCCCTCAACTCCTAGCTTCTCATTATCTGAAAATGAATCCGGATGTTAATTAAATTCAATTCAGGACATGACCAGGAAGCTAAAAATTTATATAAAACAGTTTGAGTTTTGGGCCCGAGACCCCTCCGGATTCTGGAATCGGGGAAATAACGTCCTTATTTTTTTGGAAAGCCTGGATACGTCATCCCAACACCCTTCCTGGTTCGTGCGAATTGCTCTGTAACGATTGTAGCGGCACAATCGTTACAATTTTTGAGCAATTTCTGACAATTTCTAATTCTATTTGTCGTTGTTTCTTCGTAGTTGTTTCCACTGCAACTATTGTTGTTCTGATTTTCTTCTGGTTTTTCTCCAAAGTGGCCGTTTCAGCATTTCTCAGAAATGTGACGTCACAATTCGCCTCAAAAAAGTATAATCGGAATATCTCAAATTTGAGAGTGAACAAAGACATAAAAAAACATCGATTCATTAAAAGTTTTAGTTTTGGAATGGACGTATAGTGGGCAATTAATTTGGCTATATTCTGAAAAATATTAAAAATTTCTTCCTCTTCTTCGAATGCACTTCACTTATGAATGAAAGCACAACTATAGTTTTTTAAATACAAATAAAAATGGCAAACTGCGGAAGTGTGGGCTATAAATTTTTTGCTACTAGGCTGGGAGCTAATACCCTGAAACTGCCTGAAACATAAATACTAGTGCGTAACTTGCATATCCGGTGCTTCAAACAGACTTATGAATGTGAAAATTGCTTATATATGAAACATCTGAAAAAACCACGAGATTAAAGTCAACCGCAAGAAAAAACAGGGGTAAACAACAACGCTTACTATTTCGTAAATTCAACAGTTTGAAAACAAATTCAACTTAACCGTTTTTTTTTTCAACTAAATCTGTTGGAAATTTCGAGTTTTTTCGGAAATTTCTCAAAAATCAGAAACATCACAACACGAAATATGAACGTTATTGAGCAGACAAATTTTGAGGCAAGACATGCAGCCCCCGAGCTAACCCTGACAGCGCCCCACTATAGTCACTATAATAAAATAATGTATAGATTGATATAGATAGATGGATGAACCCCCCCCCCTTTTACCCAACACTCAATGGTGGAATTTAACTACAGCTTTACATTCGGTTCATATAATTAGCTCAGCAGTGACAAACTTAAAAATTGAAAAATTCTCAAGCATTGCAACATACGATATAACTTAAAAAAACTAAATTACAAAAGAGGCCCTTCCGTTTAGTTGCGGTAAGTGCACAAGCTAAATAGGGCCATACCAGCGTTTTAAAAATGCATATATATCAGCAAACTGTATCATTTTATCAATGAAGTCATAAATCAGCTTTAAATGCATCGTCGTAATGTTAATTTATCTTAGCCGTCCTTCGTCTACAATAGCGCTAATGGAGTTGTCGATAAATTAAACTTTGCGCAGCGATCTGCACCCCCTTATATAAAGTATAGAGCTCTTTCTATGTATTTTAGTTCTTATGCATTTCTTCGATATAACTTAAACGGCAAAAATTCCTTCGTCAAACCAAAAATGCAAAAGCGATATGAAAAAATTTTAACATTGTTAGATAGTTAAGCCCGCATTTAAATAAAGGATAGATAGACTCAACCAAAACCGAAACTGACACAATAAAATACAATGTAGTCATTACAAGGTTTCTTTTCAAAAGGAAATCATAACTTTTTTCTGAATTACTTTAAAAGCGTCTGATAATTGTTGATTATAAGCACGTCTAGCCATTTCAAGGGATTCATCCTCTGGTCCTCTATCCTCATAGTCTGAATCGCCATCAATAGACAGTTTCCGAAGTTTAGGGGCATCATTTTTCACATTTTTTTGGAGCGATGAGCTGACTGGTTCGTCTTTTGATGACGACTGCAAATTTGAGCTACTAGGATTACTCATTCTCTTTTACTATCTATTCAGGTGGCATTCTGTTATCTGAAACGGAAAAACCCAAAAAATAATATCGTTCGGCCACCAGAAATTTTATTCTAAATATAACGTTTTTCCCATTTAATCCCTCCCAGCCTAGCAAAAATAGATGGCGTGACTCGAGCGGACAAAAACGTCTACAAAAGTCCTTTAAAAAAATAAATTATTAATTCCTTAGAACTATGAAGAGGTACACCTCAAGGGACAATCATGTGCCTGCTTTTAGTGAAACTATACGTTAATGATTTTGGATTTCATGTACTTATTGAAACCAAATTATAACAGAATGCAGACGATTATTAAGTAATCAATACTTGCCAAGAGTCCGTTTCAGCTTTATCAAGACCGCAACAAACTCGATTATATTAGTCTAATTTCTTTCAGAGCCATAAACTCATGCTGAACGCTTCAAAAACCGAGTTTATTTCGTTCTGCAAAAAAATGCAATTCGTCTCAACAAGGATAAAAAATTGTTTTTTGAAATCTCTTCTGACTTTTCTTCAGGCAAATTTCCTAAATTCAAAATATAGTCCAATTGTTGAAGATTTGTTGTAAATAAAAAATCATTATTTTCGAATTTTAACAAACCCAGAAATTATCTCTCAATTTTTGTAAATTCTTGTTTCATGTTAAAAACGAAACACCAACATTACCATGACACAATAAGAAGACCATTTCCACAAAGTATTTAGCACTACTAATCAGGAGGCACAAAATCACACCACTGAATACAATATTGGGAGCCACGACTAATTTTTACATCCTGGGAACGTAGCTGTACCTAAAAGAGAACAGACCTTAACCAGAACTAACAGAAGTATTGAGAAAATCCCCCAACGGTGTAACAGTCGTCCGCTTACCTCACAGATAAGTTTAAGAGAAATAGGCCCAATAACCATTGGCTCAAGGTTCAGGGAGATGTTACAGCTTAAAGGTTACCACCAAATTTCCCCCCAGTCTAGAAAAAAGAACGTCCCCATGTGTTCGATCGATCAATGTCATCTCAAATCGATTACGAATCGATCATATCATCTCACGTTTATCGCGGCTATTGAAACAAGAAATCAATAAAATCAGAAGACTCCAATCATAATTTCAGGAAACTTGATTGGAATTTCTTCTAGTATAAAACTGGTATTCGCAATTTTACGGAAATAATCCATTCGAGTAGAGCTGTCTTGTTCTCGACAGAGAACATCGCGAATTCCTGCGATAAAAAAATTATCGCTGGGCATGAGAGAACCTTGAATGGGCAGGTAGACAAGTGAAGTTTCCCAATGGTCCAGAACAATAAAACTTCTTGAGTTAAAACTACTTATTTCCTAAACTTCCCGAGTTACTTCACTAACACTATTTATTTAATTCTAGAGTCGCGACACTATGTGAGTATTTAAGTTAATTTCCTGAGGGTAATTTTAAACAGTCATGTTGAAACAAGGCGGGTTTTAGGTTGATCCATCTGAATTGGATCAAAAATACACTGTCCAATAAAAACTAATGCTCTAATTAAAATTTCATCCAAGTTTCTAGCCGTGTTCGCTTGTTCTAGGTATCTAGCGATTTTGTTTCTATGATGGGGTTTTTGGTAGTGGCCTTTAAGCTGTAAAACGATTTTATAGTCCCATGTCTTGAACGATCCGATTTGGCTCGGACAGAATGAGGTACAAATCACGAGAGATAGTGCCAATGGCTGTAGGGCCTTTTTTCTCAGCCTCATACGTGACAGAAGCGGACGACTGTTACTTTGTGTGTTTTGGCGCTTCTGGTTGTCTTACGACATCATGACTACGGGATAAAACCCACTTGACGCAGCTCCGTGCTACATGCCCTTTCTAGAGTACCGGTGATACGGTTCAAATGGAACGTGTCCACCTTCTGGTCGTACCCTGATAGCTTTTTGGGCAAACTTGGAAAAATTTTCTCGATACGCTTTCAGATACGAGGCTTAGCTAACCGAGTATGGGGGGCACTAGAGAAACAAAAAACGTGCGAAAAACTTAAGATGAAACAAAAATACAAAAAAAGACGAGAAAATGAAGGAAAAACAAGAAAGAACTGTAACATTTGCCCGGAAGTACATATCGACGGAAAATAAAGCTAGGTTCTAAAACTACTGACTAGCGTATAAACATAGCTCTACATGCTTTTCACCGTCTCTTACAAAGCCAGTTCTTTTGGTGTTCTTTCTAATATCGGGTCGACAAAAACGTTACTGCTTTCGGCTTCGGTCAAAACACTCAAATTAAATTAATTATATGCAAGAATGGTGAACTCATGGCTGGGTCTCAGTATCCCCAGACCACGAGGTCACTCCTAAAAACAGGGCTACTACTATTTATTATATTAGGATTGTTTTTGTTAGGTAGATAAAAATCATCATCTCCATCGAAGATGGATCAACCCTTTCCCTCAACTCCTAGCTTCTCATTATCTGAAAATGAATCCGGATGTTAATTAAATTCAATTCAGGACATGACCAGGAAGCTAAAAAATTATATAAAATAGTTTAAGTGTTGGGCCCGAGACCCCTCCGGATTCTGGAATCCGGGGAAATAACATACTTATTTTTTTTGGGAAGGCTGGACACGTCATCCCAACACCCTTCCTGGTTCGTGCGAAATGCTCTGTAACGATTGTAGCGACACAATCGTTACAACTTTGAGCGGTTTCTGACAATTTCCAATTCCATCTGTCGTTATTTCTTCGTAGTTGTTTCCACTGCACCTATTGTTGTTCTGATTTTCTTCTGGTTTTTCTCCAAAATGGCCGTTTCAGCATTTCTCAGAAATGTGACGTCACAATTCGAAATTTTAAAAATTCAAAATACCAGAAATTTCTGACATTCATGATTTGTCTAATCGTTTAATTGACAATGCTAATCCATTAAAACCATTAATCTTCCAGGTCAGATGTTCTTTTCTGGTCGATAAAAATTCGAATACGAAATTGCATTTTCGTACATTCTGGTCGAATGTCACAAACTGAAAATTCAACAGTGACTTTGTTTCGGGATTAGAGTGCTCAGACCTTTATATAAATTGATAGTATACTTACTATTCGGGGCGTTGAAAAGTTCTTTAGATAGCCTTGCAACATCGGAGAAAAGCTGGGAAACTTCACTGGAGAAGGTGACCAGTTGGATAGTGATAGGGTTCGGTGATCTGAGTCCTGGGAATCAAGAGCAAAAACTACCAATAGTAAGACCATTGCAGTTTAAACACCGGAGAAGATCACCGGAGAAGGGTTATTTGGTCAAACGGGTATCGTTAAAACCCACTTTCTTCTATAAGAGATAGATATAAGAGTGATCAGGCGGCACCCCAAAGTTTTTTCTGGAGCAAAAGGGTTCTACGGGTTTGCTCTTGAGTGCTTTACCACCCATCGCGCTTAAAGAGTGTTTCAATTTAAGTGCGGATCTAGAAAGGGGGAGGGTTAGAAAGGGTGGTTGGTTAAGATAAAAGGTTGTGATTTAAAGTTGTAAAAAAAGGGACCTAATTTTTGTAACCATACAATCGACATCGTCGATTTTGTCACTGTAGATTAACCAGAGTCAGTACTGACCACAAAAAAGATTGAAAACAGGAGTTGGAACGCGAGGGTACCCAATAGTAAACTCGAGATAAGGTAGGTGGTCTGGCCGGATCGGTTGGTGATATCTTTTGTTTTAGAGATTTCAGAACACTTTTGAGTTTTTATCGGCGATTTTCAAAAAGAATTGGTACATTTTCGAGACAATCAGACTTAATTTTAAATGACTTTCAATCATAAGCTGGAGTAGTAAAATCGATCTGTTTTTTCAATTGCAATTGATTGAGGGAACGCTGGACATTTTGGAGACATTCAGATCAATTTTTATTAAGAATATTGGGAAAAAGGGAATTTTACACAAGTTCCTGAGACATTCCTGGGACGCTAAACCAACTGCCCAACACTGGTTTGTTGGAGTCCTGGTAAGCTAAAACAACTGCTTATTACTTGAGTCCTCGGAAGCTAAATCAACTGATCAACGCCGGTTTGCTGGAGTTGTGGGAAGCTAAAACAACTGCCCAAAACTTGAGTCCGGGAATGCAAGAAACAACTGCCCAACACTACATCTACGTGAATCCTGGGATGCTAGATCAATTTCCCAACACTGGTTTGCTGAAGTCTTGGGAAGTTAAACCAACTGCCCAACACTAGAGTCCTGGGAAGCTAAATCAACTGCCCAACACTCGAGTCCTGGGAAGCTAAATCAACTGCCTCACACTTGAGTCCTGGTAAGCAATATCAACAGCTCAACGCTTGAGTGTTGGGAGGCTACATCAACCGACCAACACTTGAGTCCTTGGAAGTTAAATCAACTGCCCAATACTTGGGTCCGGGGAAGCTAAATCAACTGCCCAACACTAACATAAATAAGTCTTGGGGAGCTAAAAAAAGTTCCTAACACTAGTGGACTTGCGTCGTGGGACGCTAAAACAACTTCCCCCCACTTGAGTCCTACAAACAAGATCAACTGCTCAACGCTTGAGTGTTGGGAGGCTAAATCAACCGACCAACACTTGAGTCCTGGGAAGTTAAATCAACTGCCAATACTTGGGTCCTGGGAAGTTAAATCAACAGTCCAACACTAACAGAAATATGTCTTGGGGTGCTAAAACAAGATCCCAACACTAGATGACTTGCGTCGTGGGAAGCTAAAACAATTGCCCAACACTAACGGACTTGAGTCATGTGAAGCTAAAACAAGTGCCCAAAACTAACGAAGTTAAGTCTTGAAAGTTTAAAACAATTACCCAACACTAACGGACTTGAGTGTTGGGAAGCTAAAACAATCGCCCAAAACTAACGGAATTGAGTCATGGGAAGCTGAAGCAATTGCCCAACACTAACGGAGTTAAGTCTTGGGAAGCTAAAACAAGTGCCCATTACTAGAAGGCTTAAGTCTTGAAAAGCTAAGACAACTGCCCAACACTAGAGGAATTAAGTCTCGGGAAGCTCAAGAAGCTAGCCAAGACCGGCG